CTCACGAAACCTTGGCGGTTCCTCGTTCAATTGAAGTACGCAGCTACGCTACCGCATCTCGGGGACTTTGAGTATAATTGGAATCTACAGCGTTCAGAGTCCTGTAACGTACGTCGGCGCGTTACTATTACAACAGATCTCCAAGACTGCTATAGACGCGAATCGATCGGCACCGGCCGCTGGTTTTCAAATTAGTAAATAGTTGAGGAGAACGGTAAGGTACCAGTCTGCGTGAAGGCAGCACCCACCCTCCTGCTATCCTATACTCTTTTGAAACACCGATCCATTCCCGCCTGCGGGAATGGATCGGTGTTTCTGCGGGTGCGTTCGCGTTTGTAGCACTGGGACGCCCGCGCGTCAACGCGTGTTACGTCTCACAACGCATCGGCGCGCGTCATCGCGAAGTTTGAACGCTCACTCGGCCCACAGTAGAGATCCTTTCTCCCTTTACGCTGGAGCAAGAGCCCTTATCTCCATTGAGTTTACTCTGGTTCTGTACAAGTAGTCCTTTAAATGTCCCCTCCAAGATTACTTGCGCTATTTTTGATGCAACACCAACCTTTCTTTCGTCAATCGTTTGATCTCCTATATAAGAGAGAAATGTGCCCGAAGCTGACATTATATCAACATCGCTTGAGGCTGCTAACGCTCCCTGAGAATACAACCTTTTTTTCAAGATCTGGTTACTGTAAAACGCAAATTTGCAGATCACATCTATGTTATGCGGAAATATGGATGAAAACCTTCAGGGCACTATTATCACACATAGTTAATAGCATATATTATTGGCATCTTCAATCATTAACACACAACGTAAAACACTCAACCGTAAAATTGCTCAAGCATATACTCAACCACGAGAAATACCAGAACAGAAAACAAGGCATTCACAATTTGGAGAATATAGAAACGTTTACAAATGCTTTGAGCGATGAATTGAGCATCTCCACACATTATGCTGTTACATTTTACCGTTACGTTGGGCGAAATTTCGGGTGCGGGTCAAAGGCCACGTCCGTATAACTCGACACAATAACTTAATCTTTTCTCGCAATGAACAGAACTGTACAAACGATAACAATTATTGGTAAAAACACGAGAATGAGCACCATACGTTTATATGAGACGGTTGAGTACATTTATTGATATGGGAGTCGCACGGGAATCAGTCATCATGAAGAAGTAATTGTAAGTAAAAAGTGCATCGGCTTAGATGAAATCCGTAGTGAGAGCAACAACTCATGAAAAGAAACTCAACAGTGAAGGCCTAACCAAGGCGAACATCAGTGAGAAAGTGCACGAGAAATGGTGATCAATCGTGACAACACCTGAAACAATAACGTTTTCGCACAAAACATGACACTCACTGTCATTTTCCAGAGATTGATTGTTTCGGGAATTATTGACGCCCTCACGCGTCTAACCTACTGGGGAATATCAATGATTTTCACGGCTCAAAAAGTGCGATTATGATAATAACTTGCTGCACTGCCTTTTATCGCACTTTCGTCAGAAAACTAATAGAATTCAAAGTGGAAGCATAAACACCGGCCGGAAAATACCGCCGAATGTTAACCTCTTATAGCATTGCTTTCAACGCTCTTACACTCTTCTTTGATTATGTGTGTTGTTAGCGCGTCTACCGGGCGCATAAATAAATAAATAAACTTCTTCGGTGAGAAATGTAATGGTGCTCGGAATTACTCGGGGTCTGCATCAAAACGCGGGCGACAGAGAGGGGGGTCTTTTGCATTATTCATCGTTTTACTAGAGCTGACAGGTATTCTTTACAGGGGCTGTCCAGCAGCTCCAACAGACTCACTTCACAAGATTCCCTACTTTTTGGCTCGATATTACAATGGGAAGCAGCGAAACTGCAAAACTCCCTTCAACGAACTGAGCGAAAAAAAAACTAATATTTCAGATGCAGCTACCACAACGGCGAGCATTTCCTTTTTGAACGCCTGATAAGACACCCTCATCTTTGGCGGCCACTTCGAACCGCCAATAACCATAGGGGTGGACTACGGGGTTCCATATTCTCTCGTCAGAACGCATCGCCAGGGCTTTATTCCTTGGACCACCGTCAATTATTCTTGATTTAGTTACACTCAGTCCATCCTTAAGTGCCCTTTTAAAAATCAGTCATGAAAAAGGCGCCTAACATTCAAAATATGTGTGAAAGCGCTGCTGTTTCAAAGACGAAAGGACGTTGAAGCATGAGGCTTCAGTCGTTATCCAGTCGCTCATGGAACACGCCTGCACACCACTCATTCTCACTCTACTTCATTCACAATCATTTCTTTGATGTGATCTGCCTTTTAAAAATAGGTCGATCCAGCATTTGACCTCGAGAAGCAGCGCCATTTGTCTCTACACTACCTACGCTCGTTGAAAGAACGTTATTACGATACTGTAAAAGGATCGCATTTGTACGCCAAAACAACGTCAGAATTTTTCAAAGTATGCAGCATCTAAAAGCATCGTCTGGGCCCATCACTTTTCGTTGAAGTGGATCAGGACAACCTTAGCGTCGCAGGGCCATCAGGGGGAAAGAAAAGGTATTTGAAAAATCAACTGTGAAGTCAGCTCTTGGTGTACAAGGGGGGGGGGCAAAAAAACTTTTTTCTTCCTTGACTTTCGAGGCGCTATAAGTTACACTTTATTAAATTCTTATCGGACATTTCTACCACCATATTAAAGAGCATAAATACTATCACGATACTCCGCCACAGCTCTACTCAGGAGCGCCATCGAGAAATTCTGTCACGCGACCGTGATTCGGTACCTGAGTTCAACGAGACCGTTGATTTCTCCGCGCCACGCAGACCACCCATCTTGAGCTCCACGCGCGAACGCGAGTCATTTAGGGGGTAAGGTAAGGTGATCGTCGCGTTGGACATTTCCGCCTCTTGCAGGCCTAAAAACCCTTCCTTTGCCAAGGCAGGCCAAGAGTTTTCCAGCCACACGGCTCGAGCGGGAGGAGGAGGCAGCGAGAGCTTGTGGTCTCCATGTGGTGTCACCCAGATCGCTATAAGGCGAAGTACAAAGTTCCAAGGCGTACGGCGAACGACCCATGTGAACAGGGATATGTTCTCGGATTCTAGGCATTGTAGACACAGCAGAAGGAGGACGAAGCGACTCACCATCACCTGTGTAGTAGCGGGGGGGAGGGACGAGGACCACGATACGAAGAAAATATCGGTCTCCATTCCAGGTACGTCCGGTCCCCACCATCAACTGGCGCCTTGGCGACTGAGGTGAAGATGATGTCCTAGACCGTAGCGACGTTGACGGAGCTGCTCGATGATGGAGGTCTTCCAGATCGAGAGTACTGCTCTCCAGGTAGCTATCCATGGGTGACTCCATACTAGAAGTTTCGCAGCTTCTCCAGTCAGGCTGCGACTGGAGATGACTTCATATTTTGGTGTACATGAAGGTGATGGGCGAGAGCCAGCTCCTGCTTATCGAGGAACATCTTGGGTATCTTCCGCCCTGGTACTCGTATCCACGTCCTCTGTCTGGGCTGCGAAAACTTTGCTGATATGTGACTCGGTCGAAATGTCTTTTTTTGCCCCCCCCCCCCCCTGTAGGTGACCTCAAAAGTGACTTGCCCGATGATATGTCTGATTGTTACATGGAAGAACATCTACAACGAAATGCAACTTTGGACAATGAGTAAGCAATGGGCGAGAATAAGGAAAACAGTTAAGTGGCTTTTTCCGAAAGCTCAAGACGAATTAAAAGGCACTCAAGAACACTGTTCCAGTGAAGCTGCAAAGCAAGTCAAAGCGGCACCCATTGAAAACTGAACAAAGGACCCATAAGTCAGTGAACACTTGTGGGCAGAATAAGCCAAATGACGAAAAGGATTTCGCAACTCGGCATGATCGAATATAACTATTTAAAGAACTGAAAAACACGATCGGAATGGAAAATTATGAGCGAAACGCTCGCCGGAGGCTCATGCAAAGTCGAACCCCGATGAAAGCCGAACCTCGATGATCGATAAGAGGGTTTCGTAACGTAGTTCTGGCCATCACAATGATACTTATTAGCTGTTAAAATGTTCGGCAATTCAGCGCGGGAGAGCTTTGGGCTATGATAACAGTTCAACGACGGCTTAGGTGTGGAATGAGTGTAAGCGTAACACTTCGTACCCATTAGACTACCTGCTCATGGACTTGCCCATTCTCCGTGAATTGGTCATTAGCATAATTACTTAGTTGTTCACTAGGCATTCAAGGAATTGATTAATGAGCGAAGCTGTGAACCAACAGAGAAACAGAAGGCACTCCAGAAAACGTTGGTAATTGCAAGCTGTCTACTTAACCACCAAAAAATGGTAGAACCAGAAGTCGCCTCGGTTCTGTTCGCTATTACATACCAGAGGCGCACGATCTTGTAGATCAAAAAGGAACAACGCAACATATCAGGTTCAGTTATACAGTTATACTCAGTTATACTCCCAGATTCACTGCCATTTATTTTGACTTGTTTTCGGCCCTGCAGGCGACCTACGCCCTTTTGACCACAATGAAAGAGACTTACAGAGAAATGTTCCAAGGTTCCTTGATGGAAATGTGAACAATCTAATGAAGGGACCCTTTTGTTGCAACTGAAGCAGACTCTCGGACCAAAACCTGCGACGGACGAATTTTTGCGAAAGAAGATGCACAACAAAAGGGTTGTTTTCCAGGAATTTTCTGATTTTTAATCTCGTACGTTGTTATGTCCACTCGAGTCTTACAATCCTCACGATTCCTTGTATTTTGGGCAGAGTATTCTCAACGGTATCTCGCCCAGCACTTTGCAAATAGTGTTTGCAGATGAAGTTACACTTTTTCAAGTAGAATTCAGGTTTGATGGAGGAAAGGAGTCCCAGCTTGAGCTCATAGTAGCGCTCTCAACTTTCAAACACAAGCAAGCGAGGTCTGAGAAGAAGAGCAAATCTTCGACAGCCCAGGGGTGGAGGTGAAGCGGTGAGGGGGACACACTACCCTTCCTAAAGGGTGCCACAGCAACTGGACAACTTTCTGCGACATCGTACTTGACTCGATTCGAAAGCGAATTTTCGGTTCGAGAATAAAGAACGTTCATCGCTCAAGAAACGCGTGGTGAAGTCGCTTTGCATGCAAGCTCAGAGCTTTGAAGTGTTTACCACACAGAAAATGCCTCTCCGAAAATTACCATATTCGTCGCTAACATTGTTGAGAGGGGGGACCAGTTGGCCGCAGCTAGACATCTCTTCCTAAAAAAAATTTTAGGCATAGAGCGCAGATGACCAGGGTGGCCAAGATATAATTCTGCAGATAATACATAGCCTTCATTGAGTCGCAGCCTTGACTAAACGAAGGATACGGAGGCGCTGACAAGGTCCCCACATCCCCCCAACTACGTCAACCCCGCATTCTACAGTATCCCTCGTTCTCATCTATATCATTTTCCCTCGATCCTAGGGATTGAGGACTCAGTCAGAAGCACATTATTTTGCCATCGTTATCACTCTCCTAGATTTACATGGTGTGAAATACAATGAGTAACTGACAGCGAATTGTGTTCATAAAAACCCGTTCCGAGAACCTGCCACACCTTCACTTCATTTTTCCAAAGGGCCCC